AACGTTGAAAATAGCAGTACGTTGCGAAGCGGCGCTGTAGCGCGACGCTGTAGCGCTACAAGTATGAACGCTGCCTAAGATGTTGGGATCAACCCCTGGCTGATATTATGAGCAGCGCTATGGGCTTGATGATCATCCCCTTTCGATGCCTTATATCGAAATTCATGAAACGATATCACCTCCTGCCACCCACCAATAGCGTTTCCTCATGCCTCCCCTCCCCCCTAACATCATTCTCGAGACTAACGTCACACTCTTACTGCGACTGGCGCTATGAATTTTGTCACAAACAGAAAGACGCGCACAAGCACACGCACGGACGTGGCGGATTCGATAGTATGATCTGAGGAATTTTCCCTATCCTGGCATTGATCTGAGGAATTTTCTCTATCCTGGCATTTCACTTGGTAACAGAACTAAGAATATTTCGAAATCATAATCAATAGTCACCTGTTCATGAGCAATATCTGCAGCAGCATCACTTTCTGGATCTTCTTCAGACAGTTTCCGCTCACACGCCTCAAAACGGATTTTTGATCTTGCAACATTTGCGATGTTGGTGCTCAGTGAAATACGAAAAAGTGAACAAAGTCTAGTAAGGAAAAACAATGGTGACGCGACCACACCTCCAAAATATTGGAACACATTTTTTGCAGGCGTTCATTTTCACGAATGCTGCGTTGAAGCTCAAGCACACGCTCCACGTCGACGAATTTTTCCCCTTTCTCCCGTGACTTGGATGGTCCATATCCAGCCGATATTGACGGAGTGCGCTCCTGAGTATCCTCAAAAACGATGCCGGTGCTTGGCTGTAAAAGTGCGCATTTAAATCATATTCACTAAGGCGATGATGGGGTAATGTATGATTGGGCAAGACGATGTTCTAGAAGATTTCGGATTTGTCACCACCATCATGGTTATTTTTATTTCGAACCTGGCTTAATCTCCAGTGAGTTCGGAAGGCAGCAGAAGGAATCAGACGTCTAGGACCATTCTGCTGGTGTGAAAAATTTGCAATCACAGATCTCTGCTATGAAGCACTGTTCCTGTTCCTTCAGCAGCAGAAACGTTTCAAACAATTATAGTGCATTATAGTGCATGTATTGCATGTATGTCATTCACAGAAGCTTTAAGAGGTCAGGAGCACTTGGTGAGCTACCTGACAAGGTTAAGTCCGTCTCCCGAAAATGGGACATGGCTGCGTATTTCATCCAAGGCAAAACACGGTTACGCCTTTGGTGTGATATTGCCGTTTTAGGACAACTATAATCATGTGATGTACAGCGCGAAACAGGATGACACAGGACACATCAGGGCACATCGTTCGTTGGGGAATCCCCAACAGGGGGTCGTATTTGGCCGCCAGGAGAGGGGGGGGTCGTAGTGAGTGCGACAGCCAGTCGATCATCGCAAACTGTCAACGTGCTGAGTCCTGTACAGCGAAACTTGCTTTGTAGAGAACTCGGATATGCAAAAAAAAAGTACAAAACTTTCATTCATCAAACTAATCCGAAATAAGTGCAAATATTAATAAGTCGACATCATCTCGTAAGTCCGTAGGTGACTAAACAGTACAACTCAAACTCTGGTTCGCTCCCAATGATATGGCGTGTCCGCGGTCGCGCTTTGCGCTGAGCCAACCTGTTTTTTCTCGACAAGCGACAGGACTACCATATCGTTCGTATAGTCGTTTTCCAGCAGTTGGTCTCCTTTATCGGAGTCAGCAATTGGCGAAGCACGAATCTGGCAGCGTCGACAGAGACATGTTCCATCATACGCAACGGAAAACACTGTAAACAAGTGCAGGTTCGCCGTGGACCTCCCTGAACCCTATAGACACATTTGCTCGCGTGGACAGACATTACGCACAAGTGACACCATCTCATCACTCTGCGCGGACCTCAGTGCGCGGCGCATCCAAAGTCAGCGTGATCGGCGCTAAATGAACCATATTCTGCTCCTGCTCCACTAAAGGATACGTTTTTCATGCGTTTCTGGTTATTTGAACACGCTCACTTAAAACGGTACACAAGAAACGGTTTTTCCGGCAGCTGGGAGTGTTCCACAAGAAATTCCCATCGCGAGATCTCATGAACCGAGAACTTCAGAAACAGTTTAAGAGGTTTTTAGAAAGAGAAAATCTTCAAACATTCGAAACCGTTCTCAGATTTGTGAAATGTTGAGTTACAAAAAATATTTTGATTCAAACCTGTTCAGTTGAAATCACTCCTTAACGAATCCCCATGGCAGATTTCTCTGTGATTTTTGCGACCTTCTTAAACGTTTCAGTACCTCTAGGAAGTGCAAACCTTCCTCTACACGAATACGGTCTCCTCTTCCCCACAGGTCCGCTTTTGAGGAAGTTATGGTCCTTCAAAAACACCTTACTTTGCTGAAAACTCGCGTTCCACATGGCTGGTCCTGCCCAAAATCCCTCTCCCGGTAGCTCGGCCTTTATTCAGCTGTTGCGGCTGGTTTGCTCTCGTTCGTATTTACTCTTTCGTATTTCTCTTCTTCTCGGTTTATTCGGATATCGAATATTTATCTTCTTCTCGGTTTACTCGAATATCGAATATTTATCTTCTTCTCGGTTTACTCGAATACACACAGAGCGCCGCGCCAGCAATTTTTGCTTGCGACGCTCAGAGTAGCTCTTAGAAGGAATTGGCTTGATTTCTGTTTTTTTTCTTCTTAATTGCAATTGATTCACGGACTACCAGAGTTGTTTTGACTTGAGGGAAGGTGGGTGAAACCCAATGGCCTTTCTTTTCTATTCTCTTTTCTGAATTAGGATAGAAATTGAGCAAAAAGCGAGGGGGCCTCAGTCAGGATTGTTACTTTTTCCATTTTTCGCGCATTACTTATACATAAACTTATGAAGTTTCTTCCTCCTTCGGGGGGGGGGAGGGGGAAGAAAACTCCAGAAGCTTAGGTATAGGGGGGGGTCGTACCGAACCCTCAAAAAAAAGGGGGGGGGTCGTACAGGCTCGACCAAAATCCCCATCGAATGCTGTGCCCTGGGATGACAACTGTCTGAAACTGGGATATTCTACTAAAATCACACTTTACGCCATGTTCAAAGGACGTGCGCAGCCACGCCCTCTCTACGTCTAGGACACAGTGTTTTTATCGCCAGACTTCTTTTTCTGACGTCATGTCGAGAATGTCGAAAGGAGTGCTCGGCGGGCTGGGCGATCCCACCGGTTCTCAAATAATCCGAAAAAGGAGAACCGTTCAGCTCACCCGTTATTTCACCGATCATGCAATGAAGTCCATGGGACAACAATTGGCCGAAAATGGTTGATACGAGCGATGATATAGTCTTGTCGCTTGCTAACACCAACAACTAGTGGGGAAACGGGTTTGACATCTGTAGCGAACCAGACTTGCGTGCATAAGGCGGAGAATGGGCGTTGTCGGACGAGTTCCACTTGTCAGAGTCAGTTCTTTCTCCGTATCACTCGTTCCCACCATTCGAAATGGAGAGAGTTAGTAGCGGAACAACGGCACCACTGAAAGGTACCTAAGAATGAACGCTGGGCGTCGTTGCGGTCAGCGGGGCGGGCTGTGGTTCCACCGCCAGCGGGTGGCGCTTCTCTCACGTATTTTTGAGGTGAGGAATCAGTACATTCTTCACTATTGTAGGCACCAGTACAAATTCCAAAGAAGGCGCCAGACATCGAATGAACGCGGGGATGCCTTAACCAACGTGCAGATGCCATTCCTTACATAGAGGGGCGCGATCCACAATCGCCGAGAATGTAACACACTACTAGCTCAAAGATGATTGGCAAGAAGGTTCGGATTTTGGCACACTTCTTGGTCTTCCCTTCTTCATGATCCCACCATGAATATTTCATAGTTCTACTACCTTTTTAAAGGGGGAAGTCTCGATAATCTGCCCCAGCGCACCGTGCTCCGTTGCTCTCTTCCAGTATCATAACCTCCACGCCATTTGTTCACTTAATGCTTGAACATAGGCCTCTATTTGAAGCGTATTCGACAGCATCCTCTCCTTTTTTCTTCACTACTAAGCAAGCCAGCACCTTGATACTTGCATCTAGTTTCCATTCCACCATCTATATATGGCAAACAATCTTAACGCCCTGTGTCAGTAATGATGAATGAGATTCACTTAAACCGCTTAAAGTTAAAACACTTTTCGAATTCGTCTTAGATAAGATTCGCTGCATTCAACAAAGTAATGATAATAAAGAGCGTTTATAACGCATATTACCTGTACAAATGGGGGAGTCTGGAAAGCTTGTTCACGCTTTAATCTGGCGTCTTTCAGCTGTTGCAATTTCTTTTTTGCAAGAATCATTCGCATCCAAGACTGAAATGCGTTTATTAATTGCTATCGCTTGCAAATTGCACAAAAAAACCTAGGAAGAAGAAAATTGTCCCACTGTCTGTGTGGGAACAAGTAATGAATTAGATTTTCGGCACTGTTAAACTACAGGGTTGGCCATATATAGCGACAAGGTTTTCACCTTATATCTCAGAAAGCAAAAGTGCAAACGAGTCATGAACATAACATTTATTAAGTAACAACTGGTACATTAACAATCATAAGTTAATTCTCGATTCCACCTTTGGCACGGACGACAGCGCGGAGTCGCTTGGGAAAGGCGTCGATGACCGGACGCAGGAGTGCGTCGTCGATTTCGTCCCACTCGGATGAGCGCTGCCTTTAGAGAATCCAAATTGGGGTGGGGAGTGGCGCGGGCCTTGCTCTCAAGGCAGGACACAAGTTATAGTCCAGTGGGTTCAAGTTCGGTGACGATGCCGGCCATTACTTCTGCCGAGATGAAGTCGGGGAGTTCGCCCTTGTACCACGCTTGG